CTAATCTGGCTTTCTATTTAGTTAACTATTCGGCCACTCTAAGCCGCCAGCCTAGGATCGACTATATTTCCTCCAAGTCTACCGAGCATTTAAGGACATATGGCAACGTATCTGCGCGTCGGCAGGCCCATTTAATAGCCGCTTTAGCGTATAAATCGGCCGTTATATCCAGATTGCTTTCAATAGTGACCCCACCAAAGAGGTCAGCATAAGCCATGGCCCGGGCACCTAGCATCATAGCAAGCCATCCTTCTTCCGGATCTAGTACTAGGCTCCTTACTTCTCGCCTCCTCGGGGAGATAAAGATACCTTCTTATCGTCTATATATCGCCGCGATGATTACCCCGAGGGTCTATCCCCTGATATAACTCCGATGATTCTATCACCTCGGGACTTTTAGGGCTTTAAAAGGGCAGCCTAGATACGCTAGGTAGAGATTATAGGGGATAATAATATCGAATGTCTACGCTCTACCGGTCATCATAACACTATTCGACGCCATTGCCGGCGGGCATTACTATACGTGACCTATATAGCTGGCCCGTCCTAGGGTAGGGACGGGGATATAAACTTTATATAGCCGTGGTCTCTTAAGAAACTAGACGTTTATAAGCAGCATAATTATAAAGAGGAGGACATTTTCTAGGTCCCTATAAAGGAGACGCATATCTCGAGGCGGATCTTCGAATCTATAGTGAGCCAACCGACTATCCTCCTGCTAACCCGGGATAACCTTATTAGCTTGCTTAACGCCATATAGTCGGTACCTAGTCATTCGCCTAGGTTCGTAGCACGCCTGCGGTGGACGAGGCGTCGGCTTAATAATAGCAATAATTAATATGACCTACGTAGCCACCTAGAGGTTAAGATATAGGAAATAGAGCCCTCCGCACAAAGTTAAACTCTCCTAGAACGGTTCTTAAATTAGGCTGAGCCTCCGCAGTGGGATATTGGCCCTATAGATGATGATGATAATGATGATATCTCTGGTAATGTAACTGATGATAAAGAGGAGATAGACGATATAACGGAAGAAGATAATAGATCTTAATTGGATGGAAGTAATGACCTTAACTAGGGAGAATAGCGATACCGGAGAGCCATAGTAGCCTAAATAATAAATATGCGACATCTTTAGAAATGCTCTAAGTCATATTTTAACTATTTTTAATCCTAGTAGAAGAAAATTATATCTGTTATTGAGAGGTAATTAGCGTAAAGTAAGGCTTATAACCAATGCTACGTTTAGAACTCTCCTACTTAAGTTAGTCTAGTAACCTTCTCTTTATATTAGGATTAGATAATAATATATCGCTCTTTTAAGATAATAAAGGATACTGCGAACTCTTCGATTATAAGGTTTTAAATCGTAATAATATCTTCTATCTATAGGTCTCGTCTAGAACGATGGATAAAAAGGATGCTCCCTAAGAGACTAATAACTCTAGTAACTCGGTAAATAAACCCATTATCCGTCCTTAATAAAGGTCTATTTACTAATAGTTTAGGTATTATGGCTAAGCGGAAGGCGAGGAGTCGTGGTTTTAATAATATTTATTAAAGGTAAACCGGGTAGGTTTAATAGTAATAATATAGGTAAACCTAGTCTCCCCTTCGAACTTGTCCAGCGTAAGAGTCCTAAAACCGCATTAGGCCTATAGGTAATGGACCTCTAGACCTCTAAACCTAGGGGTAAGTATCTATGCGCACTGGTCCTCCTAATGAGGCTTTCTATATTTCTCTTTCACCCCTAGGTTTAACTATCCGTGCGTTCTACTCTATTATTATCTTTTTCTTAGAGGTTAAGATATAGTCTAGCAAGTAGACGACCGTGGCGGCGATAATAATAATAATAGCGCGGTATATATGCGGTTAAGCGGTTAATGATTTGAGGATATAGTATAGGTATAGAACTATCTCGAGTAAGCTATGTATATAATGCCTAGGGTTTTATTTGTAACTCCTACCTAGACAAATATGATCGGGGATATTATTAGATAAATAAAAAAAATATATAAATTATCGCTTAAGTTATATATAAATTAGATAATAGAGGGGGAATAAAAAGTAAATACTACGAGAAGGTAAGGCAATTAACCCCCCTTTTCCTACTACTTAATTTCCTACTACTTAATATTTCTTCATCTCTATATCTATACTAGTCTAGCTAAATATAAATATTAAAGAATATAATCGAAGAATAATATATTATTCTTATCCTATACCGACCTTTTCCCTCTATAATAGCAGATAATAATATTCACGAGTCTATCCCCGCGTCTATCTTCCTACTACCTTTCCCTAGGAAGGGGAGACTAACAAAGAGACGGCGGCAGAACACGCCGTCTAATACGCAGAGTAACCGATACCTATTCATAGATTAGTCCTTATTACCTTCCCGGCCGCTAAGGCAATAGCAAGGGACTAATTAACCCCGCGAGAGTAGGGATATATTATATCAAGTCCTTATACCGGCCACTAGGACCTAGGATAATGCCCGGCCGGGGATAAGGCTATTCTAGCCTAGCCTCATCCGTGCCGAGGTCGCAAAAGCAACAGAATCCTTCCCACTCGAGCGAGATCAGGGTGCATATATAGCCAAGTACCCGCTGATTTATTGGGTGCGTAACCTCATTCGCGCCCGCGGAGGCCGTGTGCGGTGTACACTTTATGCTTTCTATGAATGGGGCCCGATTGTGGAGACACACAAGCTCAAACGCTGCTCACACCGGACAGAGGCCGAGGAAGTGCAGCCTTAGCTTGAGATATTTCGATATTATTAGGCACGTAGTGGTGGCCCAGGAGCGCGGTGTAGCCATTATCGATTCCCAACGTTGCTATATTAGCGGATAGTATACCGTGAAGAGATAGATCTAAAATATAGCAATGAAAAGGAGGCATAAGAGGAGCACGACGTATAGTATCGTGAGGCGCAATGTGCTTGGGTCAAGACGATGCAGCGGTTTATCACGGCATGCATGGTGGTGCATAGTAGGGTTATAGGTACTAGTATAAGCCGATTGGGAGGTATAGTGCTGGAGATGATGGGCTAGTAGGACTAGAGCGGGTTGGAGGAGAAGGGGCTAGAGCACATTCGGATGTGGCTGGAGGAGATGGACGAAATTAGGGGTTTGCGATGCCCACGACTCCTAAAGTTATTCTAGTTTCTAGCAGAGGGGGCATATTCTAGGCAATTGGATAATAACTAATTTCCGGGGTATGGGATTTGTTTATCTTCTTGTTATTATTCCTGTGGTCTATGATAAGATTAATATAAGTTTCCGGGATAGAACTCGGAAAAAGCCTAACTAGAGGGCTATATATATAGCTAAGTTAGTATACAGCTCGATAAATAAATAAAATAAACTAGTAAAGGCCATTGGGGACTATTAGGTCGTTAGAAACGCTCTGAAAGATGAGTAAAATAGATATATTGTAAAGTAATGCTTCGATATATAGGATAATTAATTATCTGAAATATATCGACAGGTATGGCTCGGACTTGATCCTATCATAAAACTGCATAAGCAGGTCATATACTATCTCGGGCACTTCTCGGAGTAGCTCCCTTATACACTCTTCATCTAATAGTTTTCTTTATATAAATAAAACATTAACAATAGCCTTTCGCATATCTTAGATATCTGCTATAGTAGAGGTATATGCTTCCCGTGCAGCTTCGACTAGATACCTAGACTTCTAGCGCAATCGGACTATAGCCTTAAATTTCTTTAGAGATAATACTTTAAGAGGTAGTATATCGTATTTCTCTGCGAGCGCGAATACTCTAACGTAAATAATCAGGTGGGAATCATCCGAGGCAGCATCGTCCGCATCCGACTCGTCAGCGTCTTCTTTATATATTACGTCTGCTTCGTTATCTATGCTAGGTATAGATCGTGGAACTTTATAGTCGGATCGGTAGAAGTATTAAACAACGCAATCGACTAACCGAGGATTATTATCTAGGAAGTTAAAAGATACCATAGTAGTATCGTCCTTAGTGAAGTTATTCGGCTTGATCTAGCTTGTGTTTATAGTGTTAAAAGTGCACTTTTTAGATATGACCGGAGACTAGAGACATACGACAGCGCGGTGTGCTTAATAATTCTTTTCAATCGAGACAAGTATCATATCCGAGTAGATGCCGGATTTCCATAGCCTGATTAACCGGTAAGAATGCGCTCTGAGAGCAACAACTCGGGCCCTAACTTACGTCTCGAGTAACCCCGTGGTTTTCTCCACGACGGAGTCGCGTTAGTCAGGAGGTGCAGGCATCTTCTATGGCTCTTATTGTTTCGCTGGTTATAGAAAGAGCTCTGGGAAGACGGACTAGGCAGCGATACTTGACTCAAATACGCCTCGCTTCAGTAGATATTATAGGATTTAGACGAGCTTAGAGCGGGGGAGACCAGAGACACTCAGATTGTTATTCTTAATAACTTCCTTAATCGGTCTCTTCTTACGTAGGGCGGCATTCTTATGCTTACTAAAGACTCGCCTACAAGAGGGAGAGCAGTAGACGGATCTCTGATCTGCCTTAGTGGGCTACATATACGGGAGGCAGATAGCTCATGCTACGTTGAGTGCGTAGCAAGAGGCTTGATTCATTAATATATATAGAACCATTTGCCAGATTGGAGCTTAGGCGTGGCACCGTTGACCTGGAGTATATATATAAGGTAAGAGGGAACCGACCCTAACGCGACTGCGGTTATGGTTATCGCGCGGGGCCCGAAGCGAAAACTCAGGCACTAAGGCAGCTTTGCAGCAAAAGTCGCAGGCTGGTGCCTCCTTAGCCCCGCACGCACCCGGTATACCATGATCTCTTTAAATATGCAAAGACATGCCTGGCGTTTTCTGTATCTCTTTTGGCGTGACTAGAATAAATGCCGGGCTATAATACGTGGACTGTCTACTGGTCAGGTGCCATTACATCCGTCGTTGATACCCTATAGTCTTTGAGATCGACTCTATACCCCTACTCGAGGACACCCGCTATGGGTCTCCCCCCACACGTACACTGCGAATCACGAACCTCTGAGTTGGCGAAAGACCAAAAATTCAACCCTAGTTTACGGTATAGAGATGATGTGAAGCTGGATGATGTGGAGGTTAGCAGTTATGATAAGGAATGGACGTACGTAGCGTGTAACGAGGACCGTCTTTATCTATACTGCGACTGGCTGGCACCGCATGTAGACTATATAGTGATTGCAGTCGATGGGGCGTATGAGGGGAATGGTATGACTGGAGCTAGGGCAGCGGCCGGAGTGTTCGTCGGCAAAACATCCCAGTATAACAAGAGCGTTCTCTTAGCCGAGCCGAACGCAACAAACCAGGTTGCAGAGTTACGGGCTAGGATCCTTGCGCTTCGCCAGGTGATAGATATACAGAGCCAGTGTTTTAGAGAGGAACAGCTTCGGATGGTTATCATTAAATCCGATTCGGAGTATTTGGTCAAGGGGATAACTAAGCGGGTATTTAAGTAGGAGAATAACGGCTACCGAACATACAAGGGAACGCCGGTGAAGAACTAGGAGCTTTTCAAGAAGTTAGACGGATTAATTAGAAACTTAAATGAGCTTAACGTCGAGGTTTTGTTCTAGCATATACCTCGGAGTCGGAATATAGAGGCGGATAAATTAGCTAGTAGGGCACTGCGAAGCCAATAGTACATTGCTTTAATTACAATACTGAAATGAGTAAATGTGAGTAGAAGCTTAAGTGAGCGGGATTAATCAATCAATGGCTGGATGATAGCGTGCTAGGTGTCGGAGCTTATATAAAGGCGCTTTGTATAAGATAGTCTCGGAACTTCATGGTTGTTCTGGGCTATAACCCATCTCTAGTCTAGTAAGTAAGTAGTTGGGGGGGAAAGGGCCAAGTCCGGTTCGAATGACACAAATTTAGCCATAATAGACAAACAAGAGTGAGTTCTTACGGAGTTCCATATCGCCGACTTATTACGGCTTGTCTGCCGCGCCGCCCGAGTTTCCTAGGGAGCGAAAAAGAAGGTTTATGTCCGAGTCCCGCCTCTTCCCCTATGGCCGTCAAGGATTACTACTATTCTGCCGAGTGGTCTTCCTAAACCTACGAGAAACCTCCTCTTCGGCATCTCTCTCTTGCTCTGCCTCCTTTGCTTATGCCTTTGTAAGGACGTAACCCTGGTGGATTAATTCCCAGGAGGAGATTGCGCCCTCCTCCTCCTCCCCCTCCTCTCGTGGTTGCTCAGGATTTATGGCCAGAAATGCCGGCCACGTAACCTCTTTGAACTCCTCGGCCGTTAGCAAGCCAGGAAGGGTGCTGGATTGCTGTTGATTCTGGCGTCTGCCTTTCTGCTGTGTCGATGACTGTGAAGATAGCGATGAGCTGGACTTTGTGGGGGTTTGGGCGCTTGGTGGCGGTAATGGTTGCTAATCCTCATAAAAGTCGAAGGAGAAGCTAGGCCTAACCCTCTCTTCTAGCTGCTGAACCTTAGACTAACCGCGGCATATCTGGCCAGAGACCTGCTTTAAGCCGGATTTAAACTCCCCTTATCGCGAAGAAGGCACTAGGATGCTTAATACACCCGACACGTGTGCAGCGACCGACTTGACCGCAGCCGCCCGGTTCTTTTCCTGCCTATCGGGGAGCACCTTTAGCAAGGCACTGCGGACATACATCTCCTGAAGAGGGTTCTAGGTGCCGAGGTGACCCAGGACTTCGTCGAGCTCGCCGCCATGCGTGATGTGGGTGGGCCTAAAGATATGCTCGGCAAGTGCTTTACCAAAGATGATAAGGCCGGCGACGACTCTTATCTGCTTGGCAGCTAGCGAGTTGGAAGCCGGTAGTGGGACTCGCTACTTGCTTAATACCTACACCCGGAGCTCCTTCCAGCGGGAGTAGTCGGCAAAACAAGCATTATCGAGGTTACTGCATAAGAAAGTCTCCATATATTTGAGAGCAAGGTCGAAGAAATTAGCCAATAAGGTCCGGCTGCATTATGATATCAATCATTAGACCTAGATCATAACGAAATAGAAGGAGGGAATCAGCCATTAGCATATATATCTCAGTCTCTTTCTCTTTAAGATTCTCCAGTTCAACAATAAAGGAGCAAATCACTTTAAAATTATCCCAAACCTAGCCTAATTCCGTAGTCTTAGACTTTAGCTACTTTTATATAGATTTTAGTTCCCCTTCAAGTCTTTCTTTCGCTTTCTAGGCATTCTCTAAGTCAGCCGCTCTCGCCTTCTCTTTATTATCTAGATCGATAGCCCGGGACTCCCAAGTTTTAGATATCTCCGTCACCGTTTTCATATCCTCCTCTATATTTCGAACTTAATCCCTAAGCGCCTGCGAGGCTTGTCTTTCGTCTTTCAGCTGCTTTACAGCATTATCTCTAGCGCGGTCGACCTCTTTCAGTTTGTCATACTCGGATTGCCATTTACTATCTGACCTTATGAGTGCTTTAATATTCTGCTCGTAAGCAGTTTAGAGCTCATTGAGATTCTTCTTAAGGCTTATGTTCTCCTGGCATATTCCTTTGAGGCGTTTAAACTCGTCACCGGCATAGTACTCTTCGATAAACGAGAAGAAGCTATCAATAGGGTCCTCCGAACCTTTAGGGGGAGGCGATATATTATTGGGTTTCGGTAGTGATTTATCGGCTACTAATGGCATAGATATAGATGTTGGGGGCTTTTTCGTTATCATTATATCGTATAGTATAAAGTATCGATAGAAGTCGCGAATATTAAGAGTAAGGGGATGAATTAAGTTAGTGAATAAGGGGGAGGGTTTCAGGCAGTAAAAAAGGCGACCGCGTAATAATTTATACATTTAAGTATGCCTGCTAACTAGCTATGCATAAGTGGGTTCACATCGTACGTACAATTATCTATATTCTGCAAAATGGTTAGTCAGATGGATAGTTCGCAGCCTTATTTCACGGAGCGTATTAGTATAGCCCGAAGTTAAGAAGATAAACCGGGGGTTAAGCATCAGAGAGGGTAGATAGGGATTTACGCTGGTTAGCTATAGCAGGTTAGGATAATAGTGCAGGGGGGGTTAAGAAAAACCAACTAGGCGCTCATCAGTGCGCGAGATTTTATCTTCTAGGCGCATCATTATATAGCTTATAGGGTGGATTTTCAGAGGCAGAATTTAGAAGAAATATTAATTAATTCGCCTATAGAAAAGGTAATATGGTCGATAAATAAGTAGCCCTACGAACACGCTATGCTAACCGGACCTAGAAAACGGGTATCTATGTGCAGGGTAGGCGGGCTAGTCTGGCGACAACGGCGGCTAATTGCCCAGCGGATTGAACTTTTAAGCCTTATATTTCCTCCTACAGTTCTATTCTACAATGCTAGGAGAATTCGCGCCCTAGGGGACTCTGCCTCTATGTAACAATCCATTACTCTTATATAGGGCGGGTAGGGTAAGAATTAATAATTTTAGATACCGCGCCTAAAACCTTCTTTCTCAAGTCATTCTACTAGCCTATTCTCCACATCGGGGTTAGATGCATCCTCCTTCAATATAAACGGCACCGTAAATTCTTCGATTAAGTTATAGAGCGCATCAACGTCTTTAATCTATAGATCCCGCTTAGACCTGCGGACAAAAAGGGTGCTACTAAGACATAGATAACGCCGGTAACTTAGCAAACGAACCTATTCCCCGTTCTTAATAGATATTATCGTTAGGAGGAGCTCGGCTAGAGGGTTCTTTAGGTTATTAGACGGCGGGCCATTATCCTCTTTGCAAAGGCCACCATTATATGCCTTTGCAACTAGTTCTAGGCCAAAGAGTAAAGGGATATCGCATGGATCGTCGCCCTCGAGGTTGAACAGAGGGTGCGTCTTAGGCATAGCCACCTCGACTATCTGTGGCTCGTGCCGAGTGGCCTGGTCACGGCGGTAGTTGATTCGGACACCAATGACCTTTGAGGACCTATCGGCTAGCACGCGCTTAGATAGATGGTCGTGTTGACTAGGTTCGTCGATTATGCTGCCGATCGTATCTCTGTAGTAACCTAGGTAGTCGATGGCATCACGGTAGGCAGTGAGGGTGATATCGGTGGAATAGCGTGGTTCAAAGTCGGTGCCCGCTCTTATGACTGCAATAACTAGGCCTTTCCAGATAAACTCGCCCTAAGTATCGCCTACTAGGGTTAGGATTATACTATGGATGGCTTGATTAGTTATGATGTTACGGGGAGGGACGTCTGGATCCAGGAACCATATGTGTAGGGTGTCCTGGTTGTTTTCTCTCCCACGAAGGATATTGCGCCTGACTTGGCGTAGGCCACGACCGATGTAGTCATTGCCGGGGATGTGTAAGAGGTGGTTGAGAACTGGGTGGAAGTAGTCCCTAACCTCGTATTCGTCCTTTTTGGAATCCACCTAGACGAGGGACGGCCGCTTCTTAGTTATGGGAAAGAGAATGGCGAGGTAGTGGTTGGGGGAAGGGCGAGTGGCAAAGTTATGTTGAGCATATGCGGCGAACTTGCGGCAAAGAAGCCGATGGGTTCGCTAGTCGGTTTGCTGATACTCTAGAGAGTAGTAGGCGGCTGAAAGGCAAATGGCATAGCGGCGAGTATTAGGGGAAGCGCAGATTGTGCAAAGAACGGGAGGAACTATTTTGGACGAAAGAGACGGTCGATTAAGGCCGTTAGTATAGGTCGGGAAAAGGCAGAAGTTTGTTTGGTGAGAGGGTTGGGTGGATGTTAGTTTACTTATGTGAGGTTAGATTTTCAGGGGGTTAGTGGGCGGTGGCTTGAACTTACCGGGATTTCCGTTGGCAGGAAGGGGGGATTAAAACGGAATCAAATGCGGGCGGCAGCTAGAGCTGGAGTTAGTAATTCCCCCCCACTAATATGCCGTGTTCTGGTAAGAAGAGCCGAAACATGAGATGCGATAATGGCCGAATTCTATCGCCAATCCTTAATGATGGTATATGAATTGAATGATTGGCGATAAATAGCCGGTCGTGGTAAGCGTAGCCAGTAGTCGAGACCGGGGGATTGATGAGCTGGTGGAAATTTTAGAGTGCTGGTGGATTTGGTGACGGCAGGGGGTTGGGGAGCAGGGGGTAAGAATAGGGGTTTGGCGGGAGATAAAGCTGGAGTGGCCCCCTAGATTTTAGGGGCAGTAATTTCTCTACTTTCAAAGTACGTAGCGCTGAATTGGGGCGACGATAGGCGACGATAGGCGACGACCAATGACCAATAACCGGCTCCGACGATAGACGACGAACAATCAATATATCCGATAATAACGATAATGATAGCTCTGACGACGATTTAATCGATTTGATAGCGATGAATAAATAAATAAATGAATGAATTTAGAAGGAAGGTGCCGATATTGTAGAATCTAAGTAGATGAGCGAGAGGGGGAGAGAGTAGGAAAGAAGTCTGTTTTGGGACTCTTTTTATAGGGTGACTGGAAATGTCATGTGGGTCGCCGTCTGGTCGTTTCTTTGCTTTATCTGCCGATAGCTTCTGGGTTGGTCCCTCTTAGCCTTTCTTTCTCTCCTTATCTGCTGGGTCTACTTTCTAGCTCTCTGTGTTGGTTTCTTCCATTACTGGCTAGTTTAGTGGGCTGGCTAGGTGGGGAGGTTTTCTGGTCCTACGTCTGTGTCGGCTCGTTGGGTCTTTCTCTTTATATATTTCCTTTGGCTCTCGAAGCTAGTGGTGGGACGAAAGGGAGAGGTGTTAGGGCTAGGTACGTTATGGAGGCGAGTTAGAAGGGTAGGAGTTAGGTTAAGAAGGGTATGGAGGGTTGGGCTTTTTAAGGTAACCGAGTAGTTACTATCACGGTTTCCGGTTACGGTTTCCGGTTCTAGGTTCTAGATAGAGTTTTCAGGCTACTATTTCTGGTTCCTGGGTCTGGATAGAGTTTTCCGGTTCCTGGTTCCGGATAGAGTTTGCCGGTTTCTGGTTCTTGGCTCCGGTTAGAGTTTCCCGGCTATGGTTTCTGGTTGGTGGTTGGTAGTGGTTGTTTTCCGGTTGCCGTTTCTGGTTCTTAGTTCCTGGTTCCTGGTTCCTAGTTTCCGGTTAAGTTTTTTGCTTGGCACGGTTTGCTGCCTGGTCGGTTTTTGTTTTGTCCTGGCGCGTTTGTAGGGGGGTTCCCAGGGCCTAGGTGGCGGTTAAGGGTTTGGTTGGTTGGTTTCTTGGACTTGCCCTAAGCCAACCCTTGACGGTTACCCCGTAACCCTAAGCCAACCCTTGGCCGTTACCCGTAACCCTAACCCGAACCTAAACCTAAGGTTTTCGTTTGACTTGGGAAGTTGAGAGGGTTGCGGGTGGTTGTGAGGGTTGGTTTGAGGGGACCAAGGTGTTGTTTACTGGTAACCCTAACCCTAAGGTGAGGGTTGGGAAGGACTAACCTCTGACGTCCGGGGAGGGTGACGCGGAGCGTTGTTGGAGGTAGAAGGGGTAGAAAAGGGAGGTGGTAGTGGAGGTGCTGGCAGGACACAGTGTGAACACAGTCCTAACCCTAACCCTCGCACTGTCCCCCAGGGTGGGGTTAGAACAGAGTAACTATTAACTATCTAAGCTATTTTGCCCTAGGGGTTTCTTCTAGCTAAGATATAGCTTATAGATAAAAGAGGGGAGATTTTTCTAAGAAATAATAAAAGAAAAAGCATAAGAGATATAACTAGGAAAGAGGTATAGCTAAGAGAGAGATATAGCTAGGAAAAAGAGATATAACTAAAAGAGAGAGGTATAGCTAGGAAATAGAGATATAACTAAAAGAGAGAAGTATAGCTAGGAAATAGAGATATAACTAAAAGAGAGAGGTATAGCTAATAAGAAAAAGGCAAAGAGATAAGAGATAAGAGATAAAAGGTAAAGGATAAAGAAAAGCCTTAAGAAGCCCTAGGGGTATTCCAGATCGACCTAGCTAGGTTACTAGGGGTATCTCGGGCTATAGAAGCCGCAGAGGTCGCCCTAGTCCTCATCAGGGCAAGGCTAATAGAGGAATCTAGCTGGTTAGCCGCAAGGGGGCCAATAAGGTCCTGGAGCTTCTGATAGGTCTTAGCTGTCTCTAGGTCCATAAGGCCGCCTGCTGAGATAATAAGAGGCTGAAAAAAGGCCCCGAGAGACCTATATTTTCTGCGTTTTTCTTCGGCAGCCTCTCTTAAGGTGCTATAAGGGTCTTCTTTAGCAGAATCCTTTGAAATAGCTACGATTTGAATATCATAGTAATAGCAGCTATTTCCTAGGTTAACTACAAAGTCGGCCCTTAGGCTACCTTCTGGGTGGACTAGGGGTTCTTTTTCGACCTCTAGGGTAGGCTGGCTACTTAGGGCTCTCACAAAGGCCCTAGTTATAGCGTCATGCCTTGCAATCCACCTTCTATTAGCACCCTTGCAGGTATCCTGATGGCCTAAGGCAGCTATAGCTCCACAAGAGCTACAGGGTAAGCTGATAGGCTTGATTGGGTAGAAAAGCCGGCTTCGGAGGGCTTCAGTGACCTCAGAGTCTGTAAAAGATAGGGCTTTTTGGGTAGGTAAGACTCCGAGCCACTTACGGCCGAGATAGCTAGCATTTTCTAGCCTAGCATGCCTATAGCTAGCGGGGAGGTCCTCTAAGAAGCCTGCTAGCCTAGCCTTATTAGCTTCCTTTAGCACCTGTTGGGCTGTTTTCCCTAGTCTAGGCTGGCCTTGGTTAGGCTGGCTTTGGTCTAGGGTAGGCTGGGCTAGGGGCTTCCGGATGAGGCCTAGGGTAGGCTGCGAGGCCTCCCTAGCTGCTAGGAATAGCTCGTGGGCTAGGTCCTTGTGTAAGGGTATTCCTAGGCCTCCCTCTCTGACTGGAAGGGCTATAAGGCTTGAATTAGGCTCTTTAGGGCTCTCACTAGGGCTTCTAGCCACTAGGGCTATAATAGCCTCTCTTATAAGGGTATTAGCCTCTTCCCAAAGGTCTTTTAGCCCGGTTGGGTCTAGCTGCCTCTGGAGGTGCCTTAGAAGAAGCTGGATACTGCCTCTAAGAAGAAGCAAAGAGTGCTGCTTTGGAAGGTCTTGCAGGGCCTCTAGGGCTTCCTGTAG